GTCAAAGTCACTCAAAATTCTCTTTTTGTCTGTAACTATACTTCATTTAACAAATCCAATTGAAGGACTTAACTGTTTATATACATCTGACCCTGATGTTTGCAATTGTAACAAGACAGTATGTATAATTTTTGTCACGTTGCAGTTCATAACATTTTGATACATCAATGTACTTCTTGATAATACAAGACTGAAAAGCGAGTGTAACATTATGACCATGCTAAATAAAGAAGAATATATTAAAATAAGACGGCTCATTTGAAGGTTTGGAAGAAAATTTCCATCATTGCCAGAAAGAGTGTTAAACAGAGAAGTCTAATTTCCTGAAAAACTGCTTTAAGAAAAAGATTTTATAAATTTCAACCGATAACAATGTTAACTGATCAGTCAATGAATGCCAAATATTTCCCGTATGGAAATGTCTAATTTCACAATTACCATTACTATGGTGAAATGCAGAATTTGTAAGAAGCAAACGAAATTACTATTTAGATCAATTAAATAAAAGTAAAATCCGCTTAATTCACAATTCGCTTATAGCGCCCGATATAGAAAATATTCAGAAGCACAAAACAAAACAACATTAAATTAGCCACTGAAAAGCATGAAGTCAGATTGAAGACATTGAGGAATTGTTTTTGTGTCTTACTGATGAACATAACATAGTGAATTCAAGTGGCTTGGATTTAGATTTTCTATAATTATGGTTTTTTTTTTTGGAAATGAACATGTTCTCCTATTTGCCTACCACGGTGACGATAGTTGCATTGATGACATGTGGAAGAATTTGTCTGATAATGAGAAGATTTCGATTTTGGAACTTTGGTCGAGATTTCTGAACTACATTGTGGATATTTCAATTTTTATTGAAGCTTGTAAAGAGGAAGGCCAGGCAGCTCAAGATAGTTGTGTTTTGAACAGTTTCCAAAGTATCCTAAATTGTATCAGCTGAATTTCCCAAGAAACTGTGATAACAGCTGTTTTTGTAACTTTTTGAAAACGTTTTTAGAAAAGGCTCAAGTTAAAAAACAAAAGAAAAAATCTTCCTTGCATATCTTTATCGAAAATCTGCCCCTGTTGATCATTTCAACGCGAAACACTTGAGTAATTTTTGTTGCTTTATTGAATATCTCTCTCTCTCTCTCTCTCTATATATATATATATATATATATATATATATATATATATACAGTGGGGGAAATAAATATTCGTATACCATGAAACTTTTAAAATTAACATAGTTATAACTTACGAAAAAAGCTTAAATTCTATATAATATTTCTACACCATTGCATAATGCTGCAATATGCAAAAATCAATTAGAAAACTTTGTTATAAATGAAATAATGTGTTATTTATAAAATTTTGAGAAGAAAAAAGTATTCGTACAAAGTATGTCTTCAGTATCAAAAAGCTTAAATTACTTAATTATTTTTTGTAAGATTTTGCTAGATTCTTCCAATTATTTTATTACCAGAACAATCTAGAACATTCCTCAATTCATTTCTTATATAAAGTTGTCTCCGCACACAAATCATACACAATAATTATCATCATGAGGAAAAGCTAGGAACTACCAAATTTGCAAAAAAGAATTGATCATCAAACATTGGAAGGAAGGCAAAAGCTATAGGAAAATAGCAGATATCCTGAATATACCATTTACTACTATTAGTTCCGTTATAGCTAGTTATAAATAGGTTATAGGGGGTCAGCCAATTCGTATTGGTTATAAATAGAAATAAAAACTGACCCTCTACAATTTTTACAATATCAAATGTAACAAAGACAACAAGAAGAGAAATAATCAAGTAGAAGAAATTATGAATTTGTTCAACAATAAATATTTTTTATAAACACAACAAATACATAATATATAGTGCAAAAGTTGATAAACACAATAGAGTTCTTTGGTGTGTGTCACTGAAAGAATTTGAGTTACTGTACTGTACGTGTGAAAATGAGGTGTAGCTATATTTGTTTTTATAGGAAAATTAAACAGATGTTTTTTGTGTATTAAATAGAAAAAAGTATTGTTCTTGACTCACTGACTGTTATAGAGTTATCGCTCATTAACCAGAGATTCTTCTTGTGGAATGGAATATTTTGTGGGAGTGAGCGTTAAGCCTGGAGATGGTTGACAAAGTTTGTTGTTGTATTGAAGATAAAGTTCGTCTCCTTTGCTGTGTTGATTTCCAATGAAGTCAAGTGAATTGGTTTCAATATTTTAAGTGCCCACTGACCAAGTCGCGTCGAAGTTTCGTTTTTATTAGTTCTCTTGGTCACGTGGGGAGGCTCGTAAACATGTTTACATTTTATGGCGTCAACTAGAGGTCAAAATTTGGGTCGGTACCTTCGGACGTAGTTGACGACACCTAATTAATATTTTACAACCAATCAAAATACATCACTTGTTATATTTGGTTGGGAGCCTCTATGTGTTTAACTTGCACAAAATTTAAGATTTAAAAAAAATGTAGGAATCTGATTCTACAATAACCACCCCACCTCGCAGATTGTGAAAGTTTTTGAGAGAAAATTTTCTCAAGATGTAATATACGTTTTAAATCTACTAGGCCAATGAACATGTCTGCCAGACTTGGTAGTAACTTCCGCGGGTGGTACTGAAGGTGCAAGCTGCGCTGGCTGGGTCGAAGATGTTAGCTCACGGTCAGGAAGCGATTTATGAGATAAATCGATGTAAGCCGGTTTCAACCAGTCGACTGACACTGTGTTAGGCTTTCCGTGCAAAAGTAAAGTAAAATACTTGGACGTTCTATTAATTACTTTATGTGGACCAGAATACGTGGGGGTTAAGGGTCTTCTAACTGCATCTTTTCGCAGGAAGACGTAATCACAACTGTCTAAATTTTTCGGCATAAAGAACTCCCTTGTTTGGGCACGCGTTGGAGTAAAAGCTAGGTTTTGCATTTTTTGTTTAAAATCCTGGACGAAATAGATAGTCGGTCTCGAAGGAGTATGCTTTTCCACGAACTGTCCAGGGAGTGTTAGCGTACTCCCAAAAACAAGTTCTGCTGTAGTGCATCCTAAGTCCTCTTTGACTACATTTCTTAATGACAGTAAAATCAGTGGTAGGTTTTCCAGCCAAGTCCTGGAGTCATCACTTGCTGCTAGTGCTGCCTTAAGTTGCCTATAAAATCGTTCCACAAGGCCGTTTGCACATGGATGGTAGGCGGTTGTAGAAATGTGCTTTACGCCTAACAAGTTTATAAATTCATTGAAAAGGACTGACTGGAACTGGGAACCTGTATCAGTGGTTATTATTGAAGGACAACCAAAGATAGAGATCTACTCTCTAAGAATGCACCTGGAAATCGTTTCCGCTGAAATACTTTTTAAAGGAACGGCTACAAGCCAACGAGTGAAACGATCGATTATTGTTAATAAGTATTGGTACCCATCAATGTCGGGCAAAGGGCCCACTAAGTCTACGTGAATGTGGGTGAACCTACCATCAGGCTTAGAGAATGTACCAGGCGGAGACTTGGTATGCCGTTGTATTTTAGTTTTATGTCACTGGACATTTTTGGCCAAACGAAACGATCACTAATCATCTTAGTAGTCGCTCTTCGACCAGGGTGCGACAGAGAATGGAAATGTTCGAATACTTTTTTTTCGCAAAGAAGGTGGTACATAGGGCCTAGAGTATCCTGTTCTTACATCACAATAGACAGTAGTGTTACCAAATGGCACAGGGTGTTGCTTTAACTGTAGTGATGTTTTTTTCTTTTACTGATTCCAAAGTAGTGTCAGTCTTTTGTTCTTCCGCTAAGGATTCGAAATTCAAGGGCTGTGCGTCGATTGACTGTATCGTTGATCGCGATAGGGTATCAGCTACTATATTGTCAGCCCCTTTTACATAGCGGATATCCGACGTATATTGGGAAATATAATCCAATTGTCGGATATCCCTTGGGGTATATTTGTCCGACTTGGCGTGCAGAGCATAAATTAATGGTTTATGATCTGTATAGACCACAAAATTCCGTCCTTCCAAAAGATGACGGATTGCCAAGTATATTGCCAGTAATTCCCTTGAAAATGCGCTGTACTTTTTCTGAGATGAGTTTAGCTTGACTGAAAAGAACGAAATAGTTTTTTTCGCATCTCCCTGTTCCTGGTGAAGCACAGCCCCTATGAAGTCGCCTGATGCGTCTGTTGTCAGTGTGATCATTGAGTCATCATCGGTTATATATGATTACTTCGTAAAGTTGGCAAAGGGCGTCTTTGGCTCTGTGAAAAGCAGTCAGTAATTCGCCTTCCAAGGTAATCTTTGAGTTCTTCTGACGCTGTTGTTGCAGTAAATCTGTGAGGGGAATCAGAATCTGGGAACAACCAGTAATGAACCTCCGGTAGTAATTAATGAGGCCTAAGAATCGGCGTAACTGCCGGAGTGAAGTTGGTTGTGAGAAATTTGAAATAGATTCTATTTTCTCAGGTAAGGGTGTTATTCCCTTTTCATCAATGACGTGTCCCAAAAATTTAAGTGAGGGAACAGTAAAAATACATTTCTCTGCGTTAATCTTAAGGCCAAAATGCTGTAGACGCTGGAAAACTTGTTCAACGTGATGACGATGTTCGGTCTTGTTTCTACTGGCGATCAGGACGTCATCAATATAGGCAAAGGTGAAAGGTAAACCTCTCAGCACTTCGTCTATAAGCCGTTGGAAAGATTGTGCGGCGTTCCTTAAACCAAATGGCATTCTCACAAATTCGTATAAGCCAAAAAGAGTAGTTATTGCTGTTTTATGGATGTCTTCCTTGGCCACTGGTATCTGGTGGAATGCTTTCACCAGATCAAGTTTGGTGAAGACTGTGGCGCCCTGCAGACCCACTGCGAAATTGTGCAAGTGCGGGTTGGGGTATTTATCCGGAATTGTAGTAGCATTCAGCTTCCGGAAGTCGCCACAAGGTCTCCAAGCTCCTGAGTCCGGTTTCGGAACCATATGAAGAGGAGATGAGTAAGGACTCGAAGAAGGTCAAATTATACCGAGGTCCAGCATGTGCTGAAACTCGTCTTTCGCCAGTTTATATTTATCAGGCCTCAATCGCCGTGGAGATGAATGCGTGGGTGGGCCCGTAGTATCAATGTGGTGCTCAGCATTGTGACGAACGGTTTCTGTATACCGGAATGGTGTTGTAATTTGAGAATATTTTTGTAACAGATCCTGCATTCCATTGGCTTCAGATAGAGTTGCGCTGATACATGTGCTCGTATAGATAGATGTAATTCCTTTCTTTGTAATGTTGGTCGTTTTATCCTCCAAAGAAAGGGAAGACATATTAACGGACAAGTTAAAGTGGGCGAGGAAATCCGCTCCTAGGATTGGGGCTCGAACTTGGGCTATCGTGAATACCCACGGAAAAGATCGCCTAAATCCCAGATTTAGGGTTGACGAGGTTTCCCCATATGTTTGGATTGAAGATCCATTCGCCGCTTGTAACGTATAATCTGTCTTTCTAGTCAACATATTAGGCTTGGCTGGTATTACACTAATTTGTGTCCCAGTGTCCACTAAAAACAAGTAGCCGGAGTTCTCATCTCGGATGTAAAAGAGACGACATTTTGGCATCCCTCCGGCAGCAAACGTCTCTACTTGTTGCCGGGATAGTCGTTTCCCGACTGCTGTGCGTTGTTATCCTTAGCTGCGTTTATGTCGAATTTACACGGTTTCGTACAATGCCGCGCTTGTTGTCCATATTTAAAATGATACCAACAGGTATTAAATATAGGCCTGCCTCTGGATGTGGAACGTGATCTTCGCCTAGTATGATGTGATGGACGTGGTCGTCTAGTGAAATTGTTGGGTGTGCGATTTTGCTGATGCATAGCGGTTTGTAGAGCTTGTAACTGTGAGGTAAGCTCTGTTATACAATCTTTAATTTTCGATAACTCTTGTGAGTCACGGACTGAAGAGACAATAGGTTGTAACGGTGTCGCAGAAGCAGTTCCCGGAGGTTTATTCTCATATATTTTGTCCGCGATTTCTGCCAATCGCTGTAGGTCCAAATCGTCCGGGAGTGACAGTAATATTTGTGTCGTTTGTGGGCTCAGTTCATCCATCAATAGTTTACGGAGGACTGTGTCAGACATGGTATTGTCACCTAGTAAAAATTTTATCTTTCTAAGCAGTTGGGGAGGTTTATAGTGTCCCAAATGAAGGTTATTAAACAAATCGTGCAACCGACGTTCCTCTGATTCGCCCGTGCGGTATAGTATAGCATGTTTCAAAGTATCATACGGTTTCTCCGCCGACACTTCACTGAGGAGGTCTGCTACCTCTAATGCTACATCTGAGGGAAGTTTCTCAACTACAAAAGCGTAACGTGAATATCGCGTTCTCGAAGAAAAACTCCATGACTATTGAAGAAACATAGGGATTCCCGGTTAAAATTTGTTCGTGAGCATAAGAATAAAACATGAATCAGTTTGGGAAAGTGTTTTATGGACGGGTGAAACAAAAATTAAACTATTTGGGCGTAATTCAAGGACTCACGTTTGGAGAAAAGACGGCACAGCCTTTGCACCGAATAGCACAATCCTAACTGTGAAATTTGGTGGTGGCAATATCATGGTTTGGGGATGTTTTTCTGCTAATTTAGAGATAATAGAGGGTAGAATGAATTCAGAAATATACCAAGATGTTTTGGACTCTAATATAAGGTTGTCTCCGCACACAAATCATACACAATAATTATCATCATGGGGAAAAGCAAGGAACTACCAAATTCGCAAAAAGAATTGATCATCAAACATTGGAAGGAAGGCAAAAGCTATAGATATCCTTAATTTAGGAAAACCCATAATTCGCCGTTTCCCCTTCGTGGAATATGTCTTGGCCTGGGACATAATAGATGAATCCAACCCATTTGAATCTGGAGTCCTAAACATGGCTTCTCCAGAATTACAGAAAAAATTCAATATCTTATGTAAGACCCTTCATTCCTGTTTCTCCTTACATTCTGCTTTGCCGTCTAAATATATGTGATATAATTTCTCTACGTGGAACACTTGTATATATATGTATAGATTAATTTTGTGTACGACGTAGCATTATAAAAGTCTCTTTGAGAACAAAGTATTTTTGTCATTCTTTTTCCTTTCAGCCATTAACTTCCATCCGTGAAATACGGATATATCACGGATATAATAATGCCTATAACTGGGGAAATGTAAATAGGTGAATAAATCTTTCTTCCATTGTTCTTTCCTGTTATAGAGGGTTACTTCTCGGCTATCCACCCTGGAGTTATGTGGGCCATATCAGGAGAATTTGATTTCTACTGGAGCATGCGCAGATACCGCTCAATCCTAGGCTTGACCACCATATCCAACACCTTGATATATGCAATGGCAATATTTTTTTAAAAAATATCTATTAATTACACTTCTCCACAGTAATGCCTATAGAAGTGAGGTGGAGAGCAACATAGAAAACAGTAAAAACCTGATTGATAAATGTGGCCCCTTCTCGCTAATGGTTATAAGTGCTTGTTCAAAAGACATAATCCATTGCAAGACACCCAAATAAGTTCATAGCTAAGATTTGAGATTAACTTACTAGAAAAGTAGATAAATTTATAATAGCCAAGAGATTTAGGCGGAGTTGTTCCCCTTGATCTGGTTATTTTATTTAAAACTACGAAATTCAGACCGGATGTAGGGGATATTTTATACATGATGTGTGTTTAATTTTGGCTGCGTGCCTCCTTACATTTATATTATTCTTCAACAAAATGAACAGGAAAGCATAAAACAAAATTGAGAAAAGACGAAAGCAATATTTTGGTTAACAAATAATTTTCATTATATTGTAAAATGGGTTTACAAAGGCGTAGGTTTTTGATTGAAACCTTGTTGTAGTTTGTTTAATTAACTTTAAGCTAAAATTATGTGTGCGTTTAATTGATATTTGCGAGTTTAACTAAGAAGTTAAGTTTTGATTAAAGTTTCAAAAATTGGAATATAGTAGTAACTTTTTGATTGAAAATTAAACTGTTTGTTTAAAAAAAAAACAAATTTACAATAGATGTGTGTAAATTTAGTTTGAGTGGAGTTATCTTACTTTGATTGCTGTTGAAGTAGAATGTTAAATCTTGGAAGATGTTGTAATGCTAATTCACTTGCAGGAATAAGTTTCTGCTGTGTGAATTAATTAATGAGTGAGTGGAAATTTCTTGAAGTTTGTGGTATGTTCACTAGTAACGTTGAAAATTTCAGATGAAGTGACGTAGGTTCGCGTAGGAAGTTACAATGCTCACTGCCGAGGATGAACAACGTTTCATACTTATTGAAAAATTTTATCACGTGATCAGTTCCAAATTGCTTGACGTAATTTGTGTTTTAACTCGGGTCAGAAACTAGGTTGATTCCATTCGGGCGTAGTTGTGAACAGGTGAAATGTAATTTTTTTAATATTTGTCAACCAATCAGAAAGCGCCTTTGAAAAAACTCAGTTTGGAGCCAAATCTGTTCTCACGTAATAAACCCTACCTGTTGCAGCTATGTCCTGTCTCCCCGGTGCTTCTGGCCGAAAAAGGAATCCACCAGATCTCCCCCGGTGAATTGAAGGAACTGCCGCTTTTCGTCACGTTGTGAATTCTTGATCCGAACAGCAGTGTATCGGTCTCCCCAGAACGGTCCGGTGGGAAGGGGAGGAAATGGCTGGGTATTACGCTGAAAGGAAATCACTATTCATGCAAAAAAGTTTCTTGTCGTAGCCGCAAAGACATGAAAAGGAAAAAATAAGCAACTCTTTCGGTTCCTGTACAAAGAGCCCTTTTTAGGTCCCTGTTTTTATGTCACTACCGAAGAATTTACACGAGTACAAAATGTCGTAACGAGGTTCACTCGTTTGGGGTCGGAAGTGACAGAGAGAGAGAGTAGGAAAATTTCTGCCTAAACAATTTCGGCTGATCTAAGGGAAGTAATTCGGGGATCTTCGTTGGAGCGTGTAATTATAGCAGTTTGGTTTCTCAGCTTTGTTGGCAAAATTAACTGGTTTCATACAGGGTCTGTTTCTATTTCTGGGTTCGGATTGGACCTCTTGGGCGCGTGACAACCAACCAACCAACCGGACCAGCAAATTCTACTATGCAAGCTTTTCCGGTCCCCGAAACACAGCGGGAACCCAGTTTTCAAGAGATACTAAAATCGGATTCGGACCTCCTGCTGGGTCTTCCGCAGTCAACGTCTACTTAAGTTTTGCCAAAACCATTTATCCCGTCTAGTTGAATTCCGCCATTCAGACCACCCAAAAGTCCAATTCGCCATTTATCACAAACTTTACTTTAACGAATCCGCCTCTTAATCACTCTGGAATTATTACATGTAATTAACTAATAACTCAACCCCAGAAACAATTATTAAGAGAAAAAAACAAGAGAAAAAAAACAAACAAATCCCTTCCACCCAAGTAATTAGCACCTTCATCCTAATTCTTTAGCACTGTTAATTACTAAATCCACCTCGGGGTGGGGGTGGGATGTCTCTCTCTCTATGTCAAAATGTTTAGGTTTAGTTGTGCTGATTAGAACTATGTACGTGAAGATACACAAAAGACAATTTTAATATTTATTGTCCAATCAGGATGTTGTTCATTGACAGAATTAAGGAAATTTAGATGTGATCCACTTTTTGAACAAAAATTGAACAAGTTATTTTTAGTTATTTGTAATGTTGTAGAATTAGAATTCTACACTGGAACTAGGTAGCGCCACGCACTTTCTAAAAAAAAACGAAAATACATTTTAAATGCTTTCTTTGAACTTAAATATCCGAATTAAAAAATAATCAATTTTTGTATATTAATAAACTTTTGGGGCATTTTTAAAGCATTAGTACTTTTTTCGCCACTCATCGAATCGCCATTGTATACGAAAAATGTAAACAACAAATTAAAAAATTTCTTTAAAATTCAGTATTTGTCCTAAAGATGTGTTTCGAAGTCTGTCAGTAAATTTAAGGATTAATTAACAGGATTTTCTAAAAGTAATACTTACTTTTTACTTAAAACAAAATGAAAATAACGTTTTATTTATGCACGATAGCCTGTGAGGTCAAAGGATACGGTAGAAAGACAGTTATTTTACCCCTATCAAAAAAGCGCAGGAAAAAATTAAAATAAAATCATAAAGAATTACGGAAGACCAGCAGTGCAATAATCAAGAATTTCTTATTCATGTTTAAAACTAAATTTTCTTTAACCTTATATAAGCAATAGTTTAAGAATATAATTTTATCCTATACACTTTTATTAAACTTAGTAAACTGACTGAACAGGAGATATGAAATTAGATTAATATAATAATACTCCAATATTGAATTGTAGTCAGTCAACGAGAGCTATTAGAATTATTTCCTTTTTGTAAGTCCATACCAAAAATAATCTAACACTTTCTAAAAGGAAAAAAATAAAATAATTTAAAAAAAAAAAAAAAAAAAAAAAAAAGGTTCACACTCGAAAATGATATTTTAAAAATCTTCACACAGGTCACTTAATTAATAAAATAAACTCTTCTAGCGAACAGCAATGGTGTTAATTTCAAAATAGCACTGAAAAATTACAAATAA